ATTTACTTTTAATTTATATAGATTACACACATGGCTAATCCTGAAAATATTAATATTTACTCCTCATATGGTAATTTCATATTTTCCTTAACTTAAATTAAGAAAATTATATATTCTATTAAAATTTGTTGGCCAACGATGATTTTTGTCAAATGCTTCAATTTTTAAATAGAAAAATGCTACGTTCAATTACGGAACCATTCCATCCGAATTTGTAACTGTTTAGATCGTTCAATTACGGAACCATTCCATCCGAATTTGTAACTGTTTAGATCATCGTGTAACCGTCAGAGATAGTTAATTTAACGATTGCAAACCTAATGATCCGTAATAGGACCGTAGCATCTCTACGTCGGGATTTGTAACTGTTAGATTATCGTGTAACCGTCAGAAATAGTTGATTTAACGATTGCAAACCTAATGATTCCATAACAAGACACCGTAGCATTTCCCAAACAGATAAGTACAAAATTTAAATCTTATTTAAAACACGCGTTAGATGAAAGCGAACCATAAACCAAAACGATTTATCTTTCTCTCCTAAACCCAAAACCCAAGAATTTCGTGGGCTGCTGAAAAGTTTACAAGTGCCAAGACCCTTTATTTTCCTTTATCGTCTCCTTCAATCAACTATTCTTTCTTGCTCCAAAGAGACCCTTTCATGGAAGCACACACTCCCGAAGCGTGAATGTACCATCGTAAGCTATTCTTTAACTTTATTGATTGTAGGGCTTTGGTGTTTTGTTCGAAAGTTGAAACCTTTATCATTGGTGACGATGATTCTACAAAATTTTACGACATTCTTAAAGGATTTACATTTTATCGTATGAAGGAAATTGAACCCCGTATGTTAATATCTGCGCACTGTTGTTTCTCCTCTGTTGCGTGACTTGGTGGGTTTTGCTTGTATTTTCTCGATCACGTGAAATGGCAAATCTTTTTTTGATAGATTTCGAAAATTTTAAGTAATTTAGATGTTGCAAACAAGCATCTTCGCTGTAGGTGTGTGTACTTTTTTTTTTTTTTTTTTTT